GTGATTCGCTAGCATGCTGGAATGAATAAATAATAGCACACCAGGAAAGTCTAAAAAATAGACCCCTCACTGGTGCCGCCACTGATCTCAATATGATTGTAACATCAGGCTTTAATCAGGGATTTTTTTTCGATTAAATTACAAGAATTATAGTTCATAATTACAGTCCATCTATTCATCTATACTGTACAGATCTTGATGTATCTTGTAAAAAATGATGAATGCATTCAAGCAAACATTACCATCTTTAATCCATTTGCTATATGAAACAATACTATCATGGGTCAATGACTTGGTATAGGAAAGTAAACAACATAGAAGTAGGTCATATCTTTACTGCAGACAGTTTCAGTTTCTATGGTACGTTCTCAGCTTTGCCTGTAATCTTCCTGATCTTCACCACCAAAGATGCATTAAACATAGCTCATCATCTATCATAGCTAATGCCTGCCTCACTACAACATGGCCTGCCCCAAAAATATATGTTCCTGAAGCATTTTGTTGACATCAACTCGGTCATCTCTCGTGGAGATCTACATTATAGTGTTTACAGGAGATTATTGTAAGAGTTCTTATTAGCCTGACTTGGTTATTCAACTCAATCTCAGCATTTCTATATATCTCTATCTAGCAACAGACAAGTGGGTCGTCCACCCTGGTCAGGGAAATAGGTTGATAATGTAGAAGAGGGGTAAGGGTTATGGGGAGAAAAATTTACTCTACATTTAGTTCCGCAATCATAATTTTCTTACCCCTCCCCAGACCAACAATCATAATTTTCTTACCCCTCCCCAGACCAACAATCATAATTTTCTTATCCCCCTCCCCAGGTCAACAATGATAATTTTCTTATCCCCTCCCCAGGCCAAAACTAGGAATTACTAGATTATGAAATTATTCTCATGTTTACTGTAAGTAGGTAAAAAGATGGTATTATGGTAATAATGTAGTATTTCTGCACCTTCCACAACAGAAATTGTCTCAAGGTGTTGTTATATATCCCTGTCTTCTACCACCACCCTTATAAAGATAAGAAAAAATAAGTTGTTTATAGGTTAAGTATAAACACAGGATTTAGTAAGGTTTAAAAACATTCTGATCTACATTTATTTTTCAAGTGTAATTTTACTAAAATTATTTTGAACTGAGACTCACTGCAAGATCATTCCCAGAAATTATGTTTAGAGGTCAGGTTGTGATCCAATGTCAAATTGAATGGATATGCAATGACATCCTCCTGCTGGTCAAGGTTACACCATAATCATGACCCCTAAATACCATTCTGAATGGTCAAGCATTGCAAGTATTTTCCCAGCTGACCCGTCATCTACTATGGAAGGATTACATATCAGGTTTGAACGAAATTCGAGACTGTATGTGCGGAGAACAAAGGACAAGCCTACAAAAATGCGCAAAAAAAATCATAAAAAATAATGATATTGTTATAGATGTATTGTCCTATGCTAAATACCAAAAAAAATCATAAAAATATTTTTTTGAAATTAACTTGCCCATTTTGAAGTAACATAAAAGTTATCAACTTAGAAATTAGTGTATTTAAAAATGTCTACCCATCAGTTTACAGCGAAAAATGACAGAAACACTTTCAGTCACTGGAAGTGTTTTATTATTTTTATTATAATTTTTTGGTTTAAAAATCAGGGTACACATTCTTTAAATTCAATAATTTTTATGCACAAGTTAATAATTTGTATGCTATTGCAATATGAGCAAGTTTATTTCAAAATTATCTTTTAATGATTTTTTGACATTAATAGCAAGGGACAATACATCTTTAAATAATACAATTCCATTTTAGTATATTACTGCTTCTTTGTAATTAAATATTATCCATAAATTGTACTTAGAGCTACAGTACTGTACAGTATAAACTGTCTTCCTATTAACGATCACTCAATCATCATCTATTTTTTTATTTTCAAAAGTACCAATTGAGAAGAGAAAACATCACAGTGGGAAGGGGAACAAGTAATTAGGACAGAGGTCAGGAGTTAATAATACTTGGTGGGGTCATGGTGTAATATAGTGTATACATAGCAGCTGGCCACACTCTACAGAGCTAAACAATCATTTCCGGTTATCAATTAATGCAATGTCTAAACTACAGGACCATTAAAATACAAGAACTTTCACCTACAATGCAAAAACCATGGACCTATTACATGCAGAAACTATATGCTTACATCGCTTACATACAGTAATGAATAGGCTGCTTACATACAGTAAAGGATAGGCGATTCAGTGCATAGTGATACCATAGATAACAGCACCACAAGCCAGTCAACTATGAACCGATTAAAGATTAATTGAGGAAGGGAATTCGATGGCTGCTCCCTCTTCCTGTGAGGCTCAGCTTTTCACTGAAAACACAATTCTGGGTTTTTCGTAGATCCTTAAAAGTGATTACAACGTGTGGATTCTTCACGCGATTGCGATTATTAGGCGAATAGATGATGAGTAACAATTCGATAACATATCAATTAACAGTTGATAATCTACCTTGATTTGGTTTGATGAAGCATAACACTCTCAGGGTCCAGTTATGGTCATTATTCAGATGCATAATTCTATTTCAATTTCCCTAGAGTTAATATTTTTAGTATTAATTTTTCTATCTGGTTTATCATTATATCATATTGGGCGCAGTCCATGCTGATGGTATAAGCTTTTCATTGAATACAGTAATAAAGCCGCAGGTCCAAATGTTTTTATGAGTATATGTAGGCCTATTTTAAGGCTTTACATTCTGTGGTAAATTTACCTCAAAAGAATACAACAAATGAATAAACTGCATTAAAATTAATATATAACTAAACTTTATAAATATGCCAAACAGTACTTAATATTTATTTTTTAAAAATAAAAATTAACATTATTCAAAGTTCAGTTAGTAGAGGAAAAGAGAAAAGAAACTCATCTCATTATCTTATCTTTCACATTAGTAATTTATTATTTAATTATTGACAACACAGTTTATTAAAACAACACACTAGGCATCAGAACAAACAATGAAAGATAAGGATGGTGGTCATTACGTAGGATAGAAAACGGCTCCTTTAAAGTGGTAAACATGGAAAATAAATTTCTAGGAAAAAGTAGTTTAGAGATTACATCCAATTCCTATTTAAAACAACAATAGTGTCAGTGTGTTTTGCTTGTAGTTTTGTATAAGGCAAGGTGCATCCAGGTTAAGGATGGTGGGTTGGGGACAGTGAAGAAGAGGAGCTCTTTTGTTCCATTTTTTCATTCAATGCCGCGCAACTGCATACATTTCAAGAATCTATAGCTAAACATGGATGCTCTTGTTTTAGAGGATGATTAGATTTCAGTCTCAAAAAATATTTTCTTAGTATTTTGGCATGTGAAAGTTTAAAAAAAAGAATGTCTGAAAAAGAAGACAGCTAACATGAAATTGCCAAATAAGATATTGTGCTTGACATTTGCCAGTTTTCCATCAATACAACTAAATGTGGAAGCATGCGACATAGGGTATGAGCATTTCTACACACCTGACCAGTTGTGGGTTCATTTCGATACTGCTCACATAGCTTGTGTCCATAGGCAAGATAATGTATCTACTTTTGTCTCTCTTCACCTAGGATTATACAGTAAATGGATGCCTAGTGGGAGGAGGATACACTGGAATGCGATGAGGAAAATATTAAATCTATAACCCCCAAAAATTATTGTAATACTGTACATCGGTGTCTTTTTGTTTTGTTTTTGAAATACGAACAAATAAAATGTATTTTCCCCTCTTTATCATATCACATCTGTTATATTTAATGGACATGTGACCTGAACAGTGAAAGTCAGCTCATTTTCAAAACCATTAAAAATTATATTAAGTACCAAATATAATTAATGAACATTTATAAATTAATCCCAATACATATCCCACTCACAACTGACTCAAACTATAAAGCTCTTCTTTATGTCTACACACAAAATTAATTTTATTGATCCAAGTAATTGATGCAATATTATACTTCTACATCATTCTTTTAATTTACTTATTTTAGAAATCAATCATAAGAGAAAAATGTAATTTATATATGATTTTCTTTCATGTGGAACTATTTTTTTACCTTGAAATGTCTTGATTATTTTCAACACCTGTGTCCAATAAAGTCCACCTGTTATTTAAACAACAGCTAATGAGGCCCTTGGCTTTAAATCCATAGAAAGACTAGCCCTGCTTAGACACACTCAGACTGAATGTTAACTAATGCCAGTCCCCTTGGAAGATTTTGAAGTAAGGGGTGATGTTAGATCAAGCCCTGCAGATCATAATATAGGCTCAAGGGGCATCTTTCAACCCCACTTTTTAGCTTAATGTCAGTATCTTCAAGGAACTTGACAGACGAAGGAAGAGGTTTAAGTGATGAACTGTGGAAGAGAGCTCTACTTTTCACATATCACAATTTCTTGTTCACACAAACACCGGGCACTTGGGATTCTTTTCCCGAAAGAATTACATCAACAAATAGTAAATCACGCTTTATAATGTGTACAATGTTTAATTAATGTCAGGAAGTACCTTATTTGGCACAAAAGTGTTAGTTATCTGTCAAATGAATCAGTTTTTTTTTTCAATTTTCTGATTCAGTATAAATTAATGTACAAATAATTCATTTCTTTTATGAAATTAACAACAGCATATCTTTATAAATGAGATATTATATATATTTTAATAGACGGGCTCTGCCAGACCTTCGCATATGAACGATACATGAGGATGCACTTGCACAATATGAATGTGGTTAAATATTTAGATATTTTTGAAGCTTTTTTTTAAATTCATTGAACTGGAACAAAATCCTTTCCATAATGTCAATAACAAAGGATTAACAGTAAATTTCATATTATAACTATGATTGCATATTTTTCAAAGTGAAAATACAATTAGTATTTTCAAAGTTTCTGGAAATCAAAAGAAAGAAAAAAAACTTTTAAGTGTAATTTATTTGTATACATACCAGGGGAAGGTTTGACATTTATTCACGTTTGATGAGTTGTGAGAGAGCTTCCCGTAATTGATTGATTTCTGCTTTCAACCCTGCATTTACTTCACGTTCCTATTAAAAAAAAAAAGATTTAATTTTATATTTTTCATCTTTATCAAACACAAAATAGGATAAATTGAAAGAAATTATGGGAGATGGGGAAGGGTACGATATAATCAGTTTATTTACTTTCAAACAATGGAATTGTCTCTTATCAATTTGAAGCATCCTTGAGAAGGAGGCTAGGTAAGTTTATTAATTTTGTTGTTTCCTTTGGAAGAACACAAAGAATAGTTTAATCAGCTTATCAGGCATTCCATGTGTCTGTAACATGATTAACATGCCTGATAAATTTAGTAATTCCCCCTTACATGTATTGGTTTTCAAATTGATGTTGTATTCTATTATTATCCTTCCATTTTTCTATCCATAGAGAATATCTTTAGTTTGGTTTATTGATTACTAACATATTAAAACATACACTACTGAACGACACAAATCATAAAAAGTGGGGCAAGTGAGAATCATTTATTTGTACTAACAGATAATACAGTAACATGTTAGTTACAGCATAAAGACAAATTTAAGAATGAAAAGAAATCAAAAAGAGTTTACTTTTAACTTTAATTAGGATACCATCATTAATTTACAACTGATGCAATAACATAGAAAGGCCAAATACAAGAAAACATGAAGTTAGAAGAGACATAAAAACTTCAGATTGAACATTTGAACAAACGAATGATAAAATGCAAGAACACAGTATGCAATTTATTTGCTAAATTTAATTTCTCATGTTTATTACTCAACATACCTACCCACAAAACTAATTATTTTCAACATAATATTAGATACTCAGGCCCTTCAATGATGAACAATTGCCCTCCCCCAATACTAAACTCTGATTCTCTAAGAATATTTAAAAAAAAATTGAAACTTCACCTAATGTTGTTCTATTAAAATTAATATTTGCGGTCAGATTTGATACGTTCTGCTCTCGCATGAACTTCAGTTGTTTGTTTGTTTATTCATTTATTTAATTTTTTTTCCCCTCCTTTTTTTTGTTTTTTGGCTCTTTTTTTGTCTGTATTGACTTTTTTTTCTTTTTCAGGCATGCCCATCACAAGATCTTTGTCTTCTCGGGATTATGCCTTCTTCTATAGTTTACCTTTTTTTTTAAAACCTTATTGTATTGCATCGTTTTGTGTTCTATGGAAGTTAATAAATGGCTTGAAAGAAGAAAGAAGACATATAATATATTTCAATTAAGGATATAAAAATTACTGAAGAAAAAACTTTCAACACAGTTAATACTAGGATATTGCAAGGTGTTCATTGGTGTATGTAAAATTTCCTTGACAAAGGACTATACTAAAATCATATGATTTGTTTGTATCAAAACAAAAATGAATGTTTTGAATGTTAGATAAAATATCTTGGTTCATTTCATCAATAATTCAATCAATATATTCAACTAATAGTAAATTAATGAATGAACTTATATGGTGCTATTCCAATCTTTATTGTCTATGGGACCACAAAAAAATTCCAAAGATAGTCCAATGTCTGCTACCACCATATTTGATATACAATTGAACAAAATCCTATAATTAGAGTAATAATAACTACAGACAGTGAGATGTGAATAGAAAAGTTTAAGGATGTCTATTTCAGAATGACCTTTAAAATTCCCCAGAATCCGCCAAAAGCTAAGCCGTTCTTACTTACCATGGAGTACTTATACTTCCATTTCCTTACTAATTTCTGTTTTATATAGTGTGAAGGATTCTACAGCCCGGGGAAGTGGTTTATACATTTAATCTTACCTATTGTGGTATAAATTTAAGTCTTTCTTATTATATAATGAAGGACGAGTTATGAACAGAGGCTCTCACGTTATAACATTAAAAGAGTTTGGTTTTGCCCGATTCATTGTTCTCATGGTACATCCTGCAACGTCTACGAACAATCTATAGAGATTTCATGGTCGTCTGACAGGGAGCCTAAGGACTAGGCTTAACAAGGGTTTCCAGGCTATACAAAGCTGCTGGTCTAAAGGGCCATAAAATGATGAATTGGTAGGCCTACATGGGCCAATTAAATCCACCAACACAAGGCCACAAGATGAAAAATGTTAAGTGCATTCAGTTGAAAAACCCTCATTGGAGGGTCATTTGTGGATGATTTCAATCAGACACAGTATGCTAAACACTTTCTAATGACCAAACTAAAATCAGATTCTGTATAGTAACATCACTATCAGCATGAATTGATTTGATTTGATTGAAATGTTTGACAGTAAATCATAAGTCAGAAAACAACATATAGAGAACATTAAGACAACCCTTTAAGTATTTCTGCTTATTTCTATGGATCCTGAAAGATAAATAATAAAAGTTATAATGCCAAATTACATAAATAGATAGATAATAAGAAACATTATAGATAGTAACAGATAGTTAAATGCTTGATATGAGAACTCAATTGAATTTTTCATTAATTACAACCTTTAGATTTATGTATAATTATAGACACCTTAAAATGTAATGAATGTAAATAAAGCTTTAAAAATATTCAAAAATATTTTTTTAAATACTAAATTATTAGTTAAATATAAGCAAAAAAATTAATAATTAAGAACAAGTGCTTTTATTTGATTCCATAAATAAAAAGTTTTAGTAGTACCAGAGAGTGGTAGTACTGTAGTCCATTACAATACAATAAATAACTGTAAATTCTCCCATTAAAAGTAGTTTTATTTTTACAAATTTGGCCATAGGATCAAGGTAAACATACTGAAGACCATGATGCTACTTCTTATTAATATGCTAATTAGGTTTTATTGAAAGTATTATCAGTCATTATTTATTTTCATCTCATCAACTGACCACTACTATAAACCCTCTTCCTCAAATGGTTGAACCCAACCAGAAAAAACACACTGAAATTTGATATTATATTTCATTATGACAAATATTACATTTTCTACAAAACCATTTTATATAGGTACATTTTATACAATCATTCAAATCATTCTCTCATTAACAAACGAGAACGGTCCCCTCCTAGGAATGGATTGCTCCAATCAACCAATCCCCCAACGCTACTTGCAGTCCCCAACTGACCAGGCACAATGACCATGCATTAGTAACAGGATGGCTGTAACCTTGAGGCCTACAATTAAATCTAGGCCTGGACAAAGGATACTGTATGGTGTAAACCTTTACAGATATACATAAAAAAAAGCCCAGCGGGCAGCTGCCTCTGATGTAAAAGGTCATTCTGACCACATGGCTTAGCCTAATTCCTGTCTAAAAAATGCCTGACTAACTTATTTTAAAGTATTAGCTTTTCAACAACAAACTATTCCTCCTTTTCCACATCATAGTACATACCAAACCTAATAATACTGTATTTTGTAATCAGATTTTCGTTATACCTGCGCTAGTATTCAAGAAGCTATAATATGTAGAGTAAGAATATAGGTATGTTCAAATTACATGAGTAAATGATCTCAAATTACTGTTTTTACATAGGATAATATTATGCCTGTACAAAATACCAATATCTCCAGGGTTCTATGCAAAATTCACCATATTTAGTTTCACTACAACTACATAATAATATTTGTTTCAGGATCAATTTACCAGAGACCTGTCTGAACCCTCCCCCACCTGTAAATGATGCTGATCTAGGTCATGTATAATGAACTTAGGATTGTGTATAATACAAACTTCAATATTGGTTAAGTTCTGAATAAGGCATGAACATTCACTGTACCATATTTGCATACTGCATATGATTTCAAGATTTGTACAATGAGCGTCATAGGGTTGTATTTGCTTGAAGACCGATCAACGCCACCTATTACTAGTAACTACAACTATGAAATATTGTAAAACTATTAAATGTAGCAATCTGATTAGCCCCTCCTTTTTCTGATCTTTCACAGGTTCCAGAGCAGCCATACTCCCAGTCCAATGGAGCAATATAGAGCCAACATCCAATTACTAGCTAACAAGGAATAATAATAATTTGGATTTGCAGGCCCGTAGCCAGGTTCTTCCAAGGGGGGGGGGGGGGGGGTTCTGCTGGGCGCGAGGTCCACAGTCGAAGCCCCAGTGGGGTCGCTGAAACCCCCAAAGCAAGAGGATTTTTGTGGTTTATGTGTCTAAATAATACTATAAAAGCAGATATGTTTGAAAATGTCTGTGTCTGGGTGGGTCTGCAGTGCATTAGTTGGGTTGGAGGACTTATTTGGGAAATTTGAAGAGGGGGTTTCGCCAAAAAAGAGGGGGGTTTGCTAGAAAAGGGGATTCTCCCGAACCATAAAAATCCCCCCTGGATACGGGCCTGATTTGTATAGAACATTATGCAATAAAGCCTCTATGTGCTAGGTGATTGTGCTCCATGAAAGAAGTTGATGTCCTATAAAACTAAACCTACTCCTTAAACTAAACCATGGTTGGCCGATGGCTCCGAGGGGTTTATCCGCCCTTTGTTCAGCTGGTTTTTTTTTCTTGCTGTTGGGTGTCCATCCACCCTCCCACTGGTGGTCGCTAAGACCACCAAATAGGGTTGCCGGAAATTAGCCGGCGACTCAACCAGATGCAGTTTATAACATTGTACACAGGACACTATAAAGAACCATATAACAGTCATGTAAGAGGAAGGTCCCTTACTATAATTAATATTGTATGGATTATGTACTAGTATAATATCACAAATATAGATAACTTCCTCCTTTAACAGACGCATCTCACACACATAATATAATCAACAAAATTGTATAGTTTCCTTTTTACAGCAAGTTTCATGTTTATCCTTTCCTCCAGCTTCTGAGAAATCAGTTTGTTTCGTTTGTGGTGCTGCATTGTCATACACTTCCTGCCAAGTGGTCAGCCATATCATAGGGTGGGCCTCATTCAATGTAAAATGAAACCATGCCATTTACGATTAAAAACCTTTTCAGTGTTTCTGTAATTATTTAATTCACATACCATCCCCACTTCTGAGTACCACAATATGCCATTAAATAAAATATAATACAGTATACAGAAAATTTCTTTAAAATTTCTGAACGAGTGGTTCGTATATATTGGATGTAGCTAAGGACTCAAAATCCTTGCCCATTTTTACTTGTTCTCAGGCAATGCACTTTATCTAAATTGTCTTAACCATGAAATCAATGCTTCAGAACTGAAAGTGTCATCAATATAAAGTTAGAATAAATAATAAAACAAAAATAAATTGGTATGGAGTACGCCCCACCTGGTAGCAAATAATTTTATGGCCTGGTCCTAAATTAGCTGTAGAATAAGGAATAGCCAACAGGAAGTGGTGTACGTAGTTCATCTCTGCCTGCCTATCCAATTACTGAGGGTATTATTAAATGTGTGACAAGTATACTTACTGGTACACTTCATAACAATCTATTTTTTTAAATTATTTTATTAAACTATAAAAAATGTATATTTAAAAAATATTTGTTTTAAAATAACATCATAAATTATATATTCACTTCTTTGTCCATATAAATACAAATAAGTAAAATGTAAAGTGCTCTGATCTTCATGAATATACAGCAAAACTTGCCTAAGTCACTTTGCCTATTGAATAATTTAAAAATAAATAAAGTTGATCTTATTTTACATGCTAAATTGTTGTGTTTTCCATTAATTAACGATTTGTACGTCAAATTTTATATAAGTCGAGCAAATTTCCACTGCCATTTTGTATTTGACTTAGGTCAAGTTCAACTCTAGTACTATAATGCTGTAATGTATGTATATATAAAAAGAAAATATTTATGTCCACATGCCAATACTTATGAACACTTTGAGATTCATCCAAATTTAAGGATGATGATGATGTTACTGTAAGTAGTGTACCTGAGGTTAAACGACAGAGGGTCATGACCTGCGACGTCACAACTTTTTTTATGTGTTCAGCAAAGTTTGGAAATAAAAAGAAAGAAGCAAAACTTCAGTGGACAAGAATACCATTCTTAGGAAAATGGTTCTTTGAGCTTTGAAATAGGCCCTAGTTCTATTTTATCTAATAAGACAAAAAAATTACTTAAAGTTAAATAGTTTGATATAAACAGTCCTACCAGGCTTGGGCCTTTTATGAAATAATGAATCAAAGATATTCTCAACATTAGGCCTACAAACATTATAACAAATCCTCTGTTTTTTAAGCTATCTTGCTGCTGGGTGTCTACCTGTATTCACCTTCCACCCAACGGCCTCCTAGAACACTAGTGCATGACAAATTGTCATCATACTATCAGAGATGAATAAATTATCTTGAATCATGAACATGAAAACCAATTTGTGTACTGTATTTCTTTCTTTATCTATTTCAACAATATTTTAAGTGGGTGACAGTTCCAGGTGGAAGGGTATAAGCCCACAGATTTTAATTAAAAATGCAAGGTGTGAAAATTTAAAACAGAAATCAAAGATTTTAATAATTATATGTAAATAATGAACAACTGGTATAAAGAATCACCTTCACTAATTTATGAAAAACAATACCACATTAGAATTCTAATCCAAGACCTTCTAATTACCATTTGGATATTCTACAAATTGAGCTACAATACTTCATGAGTCTGAAGTGGTATACTCATTTGAGTTCCATTATTTTACCTAAAGGTATTATGTAATACACAATGAATAATAATAAATTACAGCACAGTAAATTTAGTAAGCAGAAAAATCAATATAAAGAAATTCAAATTTGACTAATGGGGGTTGGATTTTGCCTTCCAATGCAAGGGTCTGGCATTTAATCCCTGTTAACTGTAGTCCAATTCTTATCTTAAAAAGCATCGCATCCTTCATGTAATGTGATCGCTCGCTCAGTTTTGTAAACAAAAAGCACAGTTTATTTTTAAACTTTATAATCTAAAAAATAACAAATTAAAATAAAATATAACAAGTCTATGACGAGGAGAATTTGCTAATTATATTCATAAGGATCGGACTTGTTAACCTAAAACATAAACTGTGTGCGAGTGTGTTTATGTATTATAACTGTCTCTTATACACATCTAGATGTGTATAAGAGACAGCAATGTACTCTCAACGTTCATTTCAACGCAACGCAACTCAACGCAAACGCAACGCAACGACAACGGGTAAAACGCGTTGGGATTTTTGCAATACAACTGGCCGGTACTGTAATCTAAAAAATAACAAATTAAAATAAATATAACAAGTCTATGACGAGGAGAATTTGCTAATTATATTCATAAGGATCGGACTTGTTAACCTAAAACATAAACTGTGTGCGAGTGTGTTTACAGCAATACCCCGATGATAGTGCATATTAATAGCGTAACCTTTACCTCACATGGTCCTATGAACTCTGGGTCTAATTGCAGTTAAACATGGTTTTTCACGAAAGACAATATGCCGGAGTAGTGAGCGGGTAAAAAACATTGTACGTATCATCAACGTTTCATCATTAACAGAAAATCGATAACAATATGTTCAAACAATATGGTAATATGAAAGTCAAAGTTAATTTTTTTTATCATACATGATCATTTTTAATGAACTTTTTAATTTCAATAAGTTAAGGATTGATGAATCTGAAATTAAAGTATATAAAATATAAACAAAAATTAACAAAAATATTAACTGAAAATATGCATAAAGAAGAAATGTTACAGGAAACTGAAAATTTATGAAAAAAATTAGATCAAAATATATCATTGAACAATTTTTGTCCAATTGAAATTCTAAAGAAATTTTAGAAGCTGTCAATAAGGTGTTAGAGTTAGCTATAGATGAACATTAAATATTTTATTCATATGCAGTTGTTAAAACAATAATTATTTTAATCATTGAATTTTATTGAACCTGGAAATTGACAACAAATTACACCTATAATATTCAACAGATTTGATATCTCTCACATTGTAGGCCTTTGGGGATGACTTCTACTGAGGGTCTAACTTACGATTTCCCCTGACGAACTTTAGATTCATCACCTACATAATATAATATCAAGGTACGAGCTAGTCTCGCGTATCGGTGACATTTGATCGTGTTTATTATTTCACTTCTGCAAACTAACGTAACAATGAAATGCTGACATGAAGATGTGCTGGTGAGTATCGCATTTATCTCCGAACCATCATATCAGACTGCCTCCGCGGGGAAAGGCAATTTTCACCAACTGAACAGTAAAAAATAAAAAGTAATTGAATGACTTGGATAAACAAATACAGTAGATGAATGGATTCGCTTGCTCGTGCTTACGAATCTGTTCCAAATTAAAAAATAAAATTGACTGGGATCTCCCCGAGGTGTTCTAATGCATCTTTTGAATTAGCAACTCTCAACAGACGAGCATAAAATGTAGGTCCCCTTGTCAACCTTTTACTCTGTAGCTTGCAGGTAACAGTCCGCAGTTAGCCTGTAATTTGAGTTTCTTATTACCCCCACCTGGCTTATTTCAATATGCAAGGCATGTGAAGAGACATAGCAACAGATTAGCTTATAACATCACTCAAATTAATCATTAGGAGAAGAGGGTGGGGAATTGCTCTAAAATTAACCTGTACACGATAAATGCTAATTATTTTTTTTATTTTGTAATTAATGATTTGAATTTTGTATTTTTCATGGAAACAAAAGAAAAGAAACAAAATAATTTGAATAAAATATAAATAACAAGTAAGTAAAAGAAACAAAAAACAATATAAAATAAAGAATTAACTTTTTCAACCTAAAGCATATAGCCTTTCCTAGTGGTACGTGGTGTAGAATACAAGTTAGTGTTGTGATAATTCAATATTGTTTATCCTTGAGTTAATGATATAAAAAGCAAATAATCATCATCACAAAAGGTGTCAAACCCAAATAAGTATTCTGCTGTATTTTATTTGTATAATTATTATAATTTTAATATGATTAATTTTTGTTAAAATTTCTGAATGTTTACCTTTGTAAGTTCTACCATGATGATGTCACAGTGCCGACACGTTGGATGCACTACTGAATCATTGGAGCTGAAAAATTAAAAATAAAGATAATTATAATATGATGACATAAGATAAGAAGACATGACCTTCATACACGATACAAGTACACAAGAAAAAATATTTAGTAGAAGAAAAAATTTATACAAATTGAATAATTGCACATTCTAATACAAAAAAGAATACGAAAGTTAGCATTTTATTGAAACATGTTCCTTGATAGGTTCATAGCATTAATCCCTGGCACTTCGGACATCCCACCCAGTGTCGTGTACAGTAAAGAGTATAAAATCTGACAACAGCTTGTCCCTGGCGTGAAGACCCAAATCATTCGCACAAATGGTAGGCTCTGGCCAACCCAGACAATGACTGGACTGGAATAGAGAGTGAAGTAAAGACTACCAACTTGAAGCTATTTGTGGTCTAGACTTTACAAAGTCTAAAATCCTCCTGAATCATTATGAATAAATTTTCTCAGAAGTATACTCATTTGAAAAAAAAAATAGTATCAAAGAACAACAAACATAAACTTCAAAGTATACTATTTGAGCTTTCTCTGCATTCAAGTACAGTAGGTTATTTACCTTATTATCTTTCAAAAGTGGAAATTAGAATTAGCAGTTCCAGTATGCATAATAACAGTTTCTATAATCTTTGAATTTATTTGATTGTTAAGAATTTGATTTTTTTTTTAATAATCAGCAATTTAATGTCTATAGAATATTTGATTTCGGGACTGTAGGCGTGCTGCCTATGTGACCAGCTCTGGCAAAACCAGAGCCATTTGTAGGAAAAATTCAAATTTGGGTTTTTGTGGTTTTAAATTCTGCATGAATTCTTTTTTAAAACAGTGTTTATTTGATGGACATTGGTTGAGTATTAGTGACTTTATTAATATTTAATTCTTTGAATATCAGCCATGTAGGTTTTGAGAAAATAGCTTCCAAAAATCCCAAAATCAATAGTTTATTATTAAGATTTGTATTTTAAAACTAATTTTAATATGCCTATCAGTTGGATTTTGTGATTGAAATTTTGCAGAAATGTTCTTCATCTTCTTTAATAACATGCAAGAACATGAAAATGATCGAAATTCTGATTCTCCAACATTTTGGGAGCTTGTGGGAAATTAGAAATTGCGACAAATGGCAGGTTTTGCCATAGCCGGTCACATATTTTAAGTATACTACCATTACAGGTAGGTCAGGATAGTATCTTACAGATATGTAACAGAAGCACTGTAGTACTATTGTAACTATCCTTAATAGTAATATCATCGTTTATGGTACAAAAATTGGAGAAAAAGTACTCTGGTGTAGGATTATTTTGTACTGTATTATAAAGGACTCAATAAAAATGATAATCATTAAAATGATTATTAACTGTAATGGTCTTGATTAAATGATGGGAAGACTGATTCACGTTCTAATAATGCTTTACAAAAAGAAAGATACCCTCTAATACCCCATCACTTGCAGGAAACACTAATTCATATGAATAGCACATCACCGTACAAGTAATTACTAATTTTAGGTTTACAGCTGCAAATTGCCGGGAATCTGCATACATTAATTGTTATATTGCCATAAACGTTAGGAAATAGCCCTCCCATGGGCTCATATGCCCTATTGGTATTAAATTATTCTTAGAATTGTTATCAATTTAGATCAATAAAATTTCCACATATCAGTAAAAATATAAGACACCTTAGGTGTGGTTTGCCTTACCAATTGGATGTTCCTCATCTCCAGTGAGAAAGTTCTTTCTCTCAAAGAATAATTAGTTAGCTCTTCAAAAAGATGATTTCCCCATTAAAGAGATGGTACCCCTAACCCCTACTCTATTAGTTCCTCCTCTCCAGTGTCCCCCCGGTCCACCCACCCGCACACTTTTCTAATGTAGAAAGTGTATTCGCTTCATGAGTTTTCCCTCTCCAAGGAAATGATCTAACCTTGGCAAACCATTACAATTTAGTATTAAACATTACGTATGATTTTAAAACAAATAAAAAAGCATACACATGGCCTGTATGTATCAAATGCCATGTAGAGTATTGATAAGGGTATCTGTATGTACACTAACGCTGCTCCAGTAAAAGTAAAGAATCCACATCCTACTAGAGTTGCGTGCTATATGAGGAGGCATTATGTAAGTGGTTTGCTGGTGCAATCTTGAACTTCAATTTAAGAAAATTCAAGAAAATGTAAACATATTTTGTTCATCGTCTTCCCACGTTAGCATGCTACTATTTCTATGTCATTTATCCAGATAAGATAAAAAATACTAACATCAAGAATATATGCTCAATAAAATGGAAAAAGTCCCTGGATGAATTATTGGATGAAGGTTGCCATATAAAAAGCAATAAAATTATATTGAAGATCAATTATGATATAAGTGATTAGATAATTAAATTTTAAATAAGTTTAACATTATTAGAAATGTAGTATTTTATAGTCTGCCTACAACCCAAATTTCTAGTAAAATAAACAGCCAGGAATTATAGTACTGGATAATAATTTATACGTTTATAATGTGCAGACTCCATATTAAGATGTTCAAGTGTGCAGTACATTATTTCACTTTGGTCAGTTTATCCACACACATTAGAACTCCGTATTCTATGGTTACAGCCAAAATCAACGCAAATAGCATGCAACCCAACCTTTAATGGGTTTCATTAAATCATTCAAAATAATTGAGATTTTAATAATTGAATTGTACTGTACAGTTTTTTTTTGTTAAAAATTAGCTAATTTTTTTAACTGGACACATTAGCATAGTTACAATAGATGTTAAGTTCACCATTTTCATTAATAATTAATATTACTATTAAGGAGTACAGGTAGCAATAGGAGGTAGCGATTGTTCAAATTAATTCCACCAGAAAAATGCAAAATCAGATATTAGAGTTCTGACCTAGATTTTGGTTATTCCCAGGCCCCTTCCACAATATCACATCTCGCCCTTCTGAATAAAAATCCCTAAAATAAATATTTATAAAGCACGCCAAAAATATTTGTATTCTTGAACTCGTAATATTATACCACACAAATGAAGTGGAAAATTTAAAAAATATTCATCTTCATAATTAACAATCACAATTTTTAAATGAAATTTTAATCTTAGTACAGCAAGTAAAAATTCACATTAAGAGAAATGTTAATAAAGTCAGGTGGTTGCTAGAAAGCAAACCAGAATACATTCAAAACTACAATTAATGTAAAATTTTATTTTTTGCCTAATTAAGAGTAAATTATTTGTA